TGCAGATGGCTTAGTGTTAACATTAACTCAGCCAATAGACTCAGTAATTGACTTGGTTGAAATTATTGCACAATTTGGGAAAGTTTCTGGTTTTAAGGTTAATTGTAATAAGACTAAAATATTACCGAAAAATATGTCTATGAATGATAAAGATATGTTAGTTACACTTACAGGTTTTGAAATGGTTAAAAAGGTAAAATATTTGGGAGTTTATATTACAGCCTCTAATGCTAAATTGTATAAGAATAATTATGAATTTTTATGGGTTAAGGTGCAAAAGGATGCAATTATCTTTATTGGGGAGAATTTCAGCAGTAAAAATGAATATTCTCCCAAAGTTTCTTTTCTTGTTTTAAATGATCCCTATTTTAAAAAAAGACACTAATTTAGAGGATTGGCAGAAGGGTATTAATAAGTTTATTTGGGCGGGCAAGAAGCCAAGAGTTAAGTTTAAGATTATGCAAGATATAAGGGAACGAGGAGGACTTAAAGCCCCTAATTTAAAATTGTATTATGATGCGGTGGTTTTGACATGGATCAGTGATTGGTTAAATTTAACAAATAAGAATATACTTTCTCTTGAAGGATGGGATTTGCTATTCGGTTGGCAGGCATATTTAATTTATGATAAAAAGGTAGATACAAATTTTAAGGTCCGTATCTTAAGGAGTGCTCTATTGAGAGTCTGGAAGAAATATTACTATAAATTAAATTATAAAATTCCTATCTGGGCAACTCCAGGACAGGTAATAGAGAGGATATCTAGGGGAGTTAATTTGGATAAAGTTTCTTACAAGGAATTACTTCATCCGGTAGGACAAGATTGGCAACTTAAATCTTTAGTAGATTTGAAACAAGAAAATATTGAATATTCTTGGTTTTATTATAATCAATTGTTAATGAGGTGGCGTATGGATCAAAAAGTTGGTATTACTTTACAGGATGCAAATTTGATGAAACAGATTAAAGATCAATCTCAAGCTCATATTAAAATAATTTATAATGTACTGATTGAATTGGATTCAGAAACAGAATTGGTTAAGGATTGTATGATAAAATGGGCACAAAATATACAAGAACCAATTTTATTGGACACATGGGAGATAATTTGGGTTAGAAATGTAAAATTTACCCAAGCTCAAAACTTAAGGGAAAATTTTTATAAAATGTTTTATAGGTGGCATCTGGATCCTCAAAAATTGTCCTGTATGTATCCTAATTTACAACCTAAGTGTTGGAGATGTGGAAATTTAGATGCAACTTATTTTCATATTTGGTGGACATGTAGGGAAGTTAAAGCATTTTGGATTAAGATATGGTGGAATATTCAAAATATTTTTAAGGAAAAGATAAAGTTTAAGCTGCAGATATTTTTGTTGGGTATTATGGAAGACTTGGATGCAAAAGAAATGGAATTGATGTTGAACTTTATAGCTGCTGCAAGACTACTAGTAGCTCAATATTGGAAAACGGAACGTTTGCCCACTATAGAAGAATGGTCACTTAAAGTCTCGAACTTAGCAGAAATGGCCAAGATCTCCGCTTATGTGAAGGACTATTCACAAGAAAGATATATTTTGGTTTGGAGAAGATGGATATATTATATTGAGCGTAAATATGGGACCAAAAAATATCATTTGGTTTTTGAGTGAATTTTAGAGTATTATTGTTGTATAAAGGTCAGAATAGTTTATTTAGTACTATTTTTAATTATTAAAGTGATGTTATTATTATTGTTTTTAATAACTGTATATTTGTTTAAAAGAGAGTTAAAGGAGGTTATAGATATGTTATTTTAATAGTTGATTAATGTTAGTTAGAGTATGATTATTTTATTGTTAACCCTGTGATTGGCTCTGGGAAGTGAGGGGGGAGGGAGGGGGGAGTGGAAGGGTGGGTTTGGGGAAGGGGGGATTTATATTGTAAAATTTTATAAAATTTTCAATAAAAAAAAAGAGCTTGAGACCAAGTCAAGACTGGGTCTCCTAGCAAGAGGGGGCGTGTCAAGTTTGGCTACTTGGTCTCAAGAGCAGGCAGACAGAGAAAACCCATTGGTAGATTCTCCATCTCCTGTACTGGAGAAAAAAACAAGCTGGAACTGTATTGCAATATTATGCTATATATTTCCTAAAAAACTTTTGACTCCAGCACAACGGTGTCAGTAATAGTTTAGTATATCACATTACTTACCTTTGCCTTTTTATTTTTCAAACAGGGTGAACTGCAACATAAAATAAACTACCTATAATCAAGAATGCAAAGGCAATTTGCAGTTTTAGCTAGCAATTTCCAGTTGGTGGCATGGGTTAAGCTCATACTACTTTTCACCTACACAAAAAGTTTGGCGGGAGTAATTCTGTCAGAGTTTCAATTCTGAACTTGGAAACAAGAATTGCTCCCCCTTATGGGTATCATAAAAAATACTGTGACAAAATAATTTAGAATAGAGGTCCCCAACCTTTTGGGCACCAGGGACGAGTTACGTGGAGAGAGGTTTTTCCGCAGACCAGAGGGGGCATGGTTTTGTGTGCTGCCTGCATCTTGCGGATGGGACTTTGCTTGTTTGTGCAGACTGGCTGCTGGCATGCCGCGGCCCAGTACTGGTCCACAGACCGGGGATTGGGGACTCATGATTTAGAAGATTCCTCTTCTATATTTATGACCGCTGGCTAATTAGTACCTATTCTTGGTGCTAACACCTGGACAATTTCTAAATTGGGCCACTTGGAGAAGCAACTTGAAAATCATTCCATTAAAAACTTTGTGAGCTTCAAGATGGCTTGATTATTTCTTGAATTGAACAATTTACTCTTCAGTTGCCACAAAGAGAAAGAGAGGGGGGGGAGGGAGGGAGAGAGAATGGGTCATACGGAAAAGGCAATTAGTAACTTAAGAATTTAATTGCATCCTAAAACTTGAGGCTTCTATATTTCACTCTTTTTTCTTCAAGTAAACTCCTCATTTATATAAAATGAATTATAAAAATGAGAAAACATGAGCTCTTATGTTTTTCTACTAACCCACAGTTGAATATAAAAGAACAACACATATATTTTAGCTTCACTTTTTAATGCATTTTCATATCCAGTTTGGACTTAACAAAAAATACCTAAGAAAAACCTGGTGTACTTTACATCAGGGGTCCCCAACCCCCAGGCCGTAGATCAGCACTGGGCCGCCACATGGCAGAAACTGGGTGTCTGAGCCTGAATCTGTGGAGGAAAATGAACTGGAACGGGACCCTATGGAGGCCGAGGGAGAGGTGTCTGTGGCTTCAGAGGAATGTGGGGAAGAGCAGGCCGAGGCAGGCCAGGGCCCTTCAGGATTGGAACAGGAGAGGCAGAGTTCAGGCGATGAGCAAGGGCCCTTCCATCTGATCCTAGAGCATGGAGAGAAGGAGGGAACAACGCAGGCAGGCTCAATTACTCGGGAGGAGAGCATCCCGCCCTTCTCCATAAGGAACACCTGGAGATTTGAGATTTAAGGAGACGCTGTGGGAAGGGGCATTTGTCAGGAACAAACGCTGATTCCTGGAGTGTTGTGTATTGTTGTTGATCTCTTGTTCTGTGATTTCTGTTTGGAAACCTGGAAACTCGAACTATTGGATTGACTGACCACATTACTTGAATGTTTAAAGACCTCGGACTGTATTTCGGATTCTCTCTTTTGAAAACTGCTCAGGCAAGCTAGAATTCAAACAGACTCGTTAAGTTTATGTTTTCTTCCTTGTTATCTCGATGGCCTTGAGTACTTTCTTATGCTAATCAGACTGTATTTGAACCTACTTTCAGCCAGAGTCGGCTGAAGGGGTGTGTGTGTTCTTTTGTTGGAAGCTTGCCAGCAAACATGGGAGCATTTGGGGAAAATTTGGAGCAATAAAAGAACTGTTTGAATTGCCAGCTGACTGCATTACCTCTATGCTGTGCCCTGGGTCATCACACTGGGCCGTGCAAAAAAGGAAAGCCCCCTTCACAGGATGCAGGCAGCACACGAAACCACGCCTCCTCCGTCCGCTGAAAAACCTCCACAGATCCGATCCCTGGTGCCCAAAAGATTGGGGGCCACTGCTTTACATGGTACTCTTCATAATTCAATGAGATGCAATCATCTAACAATATCAATTAACTTTCAAGGCACATTATACCAGCATCATTTAAATAATTATACAGAGTATATATTTTTAACCTGTTATCTTTCCGCGGGGTTGGGGGACATCTGTAGATCTTGATATTAACAAAGATATTACTTGGATAATGGAAAATCATTTAAAAACTCCAAATTAGTGGATATTCTTGTCAAATGTCTGTTCTGGAGAACTCTCTTTTAACATGAAAAAATAAAACATATTGTTTTTTAGTCTAGTGTCAATGATGCAAATACTGTATATTCTTGCTTTGACAATATGCAGAACTGTCTGGTATTTTTATAGTTAAATCAGGCAACAGTGAAAGGGGAGGAGAATAAGGAAATCCCGGGAAAAAGAAACCGGAAGTAAATCACATCTTCCAAGTTAATTGGAAGATGTGAACCATGACCCCAAAATAGGGGCGGGTAAAAATGCCTGGAATGTATGTGCAACGGAAAAGAATCTCAGATCTAAGCATTTCCACCATGCCGTACTGACATCTCTGTAACCTTAATAAATGCTTTTAGGAAAAATATGCCTGAAAGTCCTTTTAAGTGTTTCGTTAATCAGACACATGACATCTAGTTTGAACAAAATGCCGTAAAAACATATTGCTATAGTCAGGCTAGAGACTTAAAGTCTCTAAAGAAACAGTGCAAATTATTAATGAGGCAATGGTTCTGCTTTAGTACAGTAGATACATTGACAGAAAATATAATACTGCATACAAGTAATATGCACCAATCTTTTCTGCAAAATATATATGGAAATGACTAGAAGAATATGCCCAAACAAAGCACTTTTTAAAGTGTTTCTATCTAGACCTTTAGGAAACCTGGATGGATGAAAACAACACACATTTCTTATATTTTTTATCTTTATTTAAAGTTTCTTACATATTTCTCATCCTCAAAAAGAGTCATTGCTTTTCCTTCCAGCCATTTAGATTCTTAAAAAGAAAGGATTTTTTCTTCCACTGAAAAAGGAAAGTGATCAAAAACTAAGAAATGAAATATAGGGTTACGTTATAGGTGGCTTATCTTGTCCATAGAAAAGGCAGACTCTTTTTCAATCTTACAGCAGTCTGGGTAAGTGTGAAACAAGAAGACCAAGTAAACAGACTAGACAGATTTATATTTATTTTTATTTCTCATTACTCTCTGCACATGTAAGAGGACTGGAGCTGAATTTGTAGTGAAGACTGGTTCTTAAGCCAAACTTTGTCAGCTCATTATCTTGGATCCCTGTATCATTATCCCAATCAACATTAACTCTGTCTAGGAAGAAATATTTACAGAAATGTGCACACAATGATATATATAATAAGCATTTCTTAAGGAAAAAGTTATAGTGCATCAAATGTCCTTCTAACTGCAGCATAAAAAATAGGCTGAAAGACATGTTTTAAATAATCCAGAAATATAGAATTCTGACACCCTCCTTACCACCAAACTCTAGCACAAAGCTAACAAATTCACTTGAAATGATGAGGCAGCATGAGGTGGACTTTATGCAGTTTAGAGAGAGTGATAATGTTGAAATGGAACTGGTTTTTCATTGAGGCAGCAGAAACATTCTGAAGAACATGGGGACCTTCAGTAGGAGGCAGCTGCATATCTTCTCCAACTTAATCAGTTTTTCTTCTTTGGAATGGCCTTTTCAATTATGCTTTTTTCTTCTGCTTGTTTTTTTATCTTGCCAAAAAGAGAAGAAGGTTTAAAAATGATGATTATGCAACTCCTCCTCTGCATGTGCAATTAATATTTCTATAGTTGGCCCATAAAAAAAAACTTTTGTCCTTGAAATGAAAGAGAAACATTGGAAGAGAAATTCTGTCATTAGACATTCTCTGCCAGACCCTTCATTCGCACTTCTAAATATGACAGATTCATGTTGTCTGTCTAGTTTATGATGTAAGATTTATATGATTCTTAAAACATTTCAACTATAGGAATCATTTGACTTTTCCTATTGCTGGCATAGGGAATAGGCAACCATTTAGCTTGCTTTCATGTTGTGATTTCAATATGACAGGATGTGAAATACAGCAGCAAGAACAATTCTAGCTAGAAATTACAAAGTTGTGAAAATACCCATGCCTCTTAAAACCTAAAAAATATAGGGCAATATCTACAAAGTACTTTTGAGTTTCAGTTCTATATCCATTATTGTTGAATCAATAGGGATTGCTTAGGAATAGACTTGTACAGATTTGCAATCTACCTGAGTCTGAAAAAAGACAAGAGGAACATAGGGGAAAATAGATTGTATGTGTATATGTGTGTATTGATGCAATTCTACTTCCACTGAATTAAATTATTTTTGAAATATCCTTTTTAGAAATCTATAAGTCAGCCAGCTGACTGCATCAAAATTAAAACAGAAAAATATGTTCTATCAGTACATTTTTAGTGTATTGAAAGAAAAGGGAGGGTACTTTGCAATACTATCTGACAAATTGATTGCTCTGTCTATAAACAAAGCAGGTGTCATTTGGAGAGAAGGGAGGGGAGATGAAAGGGGAAGGGAGGTTCATATTGGTCAGAGATGCTGTCCCAAACAGCATATGGATGCCAGAAAATTTGTTTCTGCCATCTTAAATGTACTGATAGTATAGACTGGAATAGAAACGTATTTGGACTGTGCACTTCTCCAAACAGACAAAAAAAAGCAGACAAACATAAATACTTAAAGCAGAGAGGGTCATTGTTAATATGTGGTGACTGTATTTATTAGGAGCCCCATGGGACACTAATAGACATTGTGATATCATCTTCAATAAGGACAACTTAGGAGGATCTATGTCTTTTAAACTACCAGAGGTTAAAGAGATAACATTAGTACTTTAAGCTTTAAGACATCTATTTAGCAATTTGATTTCCCCAAATCATGAACATTTCTCTAACTTTACCTCAAATGGACAATTTGGATTTTAGAAATTGAAAAATATGGTTCTGTAACAAAAAAAACTACACTGCTTTGACAAGAAATGCTTATTTATTGTATTTATATTCTGCTTTTCTTTGTTGAAACAATCTAAAAGTGAGTGATTGTAACGTTCCTGCTTAGGAATAATTAATATCTTCTCTGGGTTAAGGCATAAATCAGTAGCCATGTTTAACATGACATTGGAGAATGAAATTAGACATGAATTAAATGTGTTTTTGCGTTTAGTGGAAGGGGTATATAAATTAACAGAACTGATAAATAATATATTTAGAAATAACAAAATAACAGAGTAGGAAAGGACCTTGAACATCTTCTAGTCCAACCCCCTGCTCAAGCAGGAGACCCTATACCTTTTCAGACAAATGGTTGTCCAATCTTTTCTTAAAATCTCCAGTGATGGAAGGCAACCCTTTCCACTGATTAATTGTTCTCACTGTCAGGAAATTTCTCCTTCTTCTGCTGCCTTAAAGAAAATTCTGGAGCAAGTCATTGCTTTGAGAGGTGGGGAGAAAGGAATAGGCTTACCTGTCTTCTCTATGCTTTTCTTGCACTCCTGAACATGTTACGCTTGTTTCTTTTTCTGGAAAATTCTCTTCACTCATGTCACTATAACTGTCACTAAACAGAAAAGAATAAATAATTTAAGAATCCAGTTTTTACATAAAGTTTCTCAGCTATCTATTTCTTACTGCAAAAGCAATCAGCATTATGTTTTTTCAGATCTGTTCATATTGATGCAAGAATTAAATCAACTAACTCACTCATTGAAATCAATGGTGCTTAAAAATACTTAGCTTTGGCTTGATTCAGTCCTTAGGGTAATTATACAGTACTCATTTCATCATCTGTCTTCCTTTGGAAGGCATGTTAATTACCCCAAGAGGAATATGAACTTCATTCTGTAACCATGTGATAAATTACCAAAATATAGAATATTAATCATAGGAAATAATAGTTCATAAATGATGTGGTTGGCTGAATCAATTCTATTTTCATCCAATGAATTTGATATTAAGAAATTATTTTAATATTTTTTATAGTAGGATAAATCTACAAAGCCACTTTATGTTTTAAGAGCCGTGGTGGTGCAGTGGTTAGAATGCAATTTTGCAGGCTAACAATGGAGACTGCCAGCAGTTCACTTCAAGGTTGATTCAGCCTTCCTTCCTTATGAGGATCCAAATGAGGACCCAGATTGTTGGGAGCAATATGCTGACTCTGTAAACTGCTTAGAGAGGACGGTAAAGCACTCTGAAGCAGTATATAAGTCTAAGCGCTATTGCTATTTAAAACAGTGTTTCACACGAGTCCGAAAGCTCGGAAGACAAAACCTCTGGTCCCAGTGACCGATCCGGATTGGATCCTGCAGTGTTTCCCAAACTTGGCAGCTTTAAGATGTGTAGATTCTGACTCCAGAATTTCCAGCCAGTTGCCAAGTTTAAGAAATACTGCTTTAGAATGTAAAGTTTTTTTTAATCCTGCTGGATCCAGAGAAAGATAATTTGGAGTTCTCGGTGTTTTAGTGCTACCTTTTCCCTTCTTAGTATCTTAATATTTATTGAAAAATTCTGTAGAGGACAAATCAAGGAAATAACAATGATTATAGCATGTGGTTTTATGTATTATACCAATCCAATCACTATGGTTTGTATACTATTCTTTATGACTTGCATGACAACTGTGACTCAACATTCAAAATATTTTGCATATTGTAGCATTTTGTGTGAATGTAGTCTTGATATGAATGCAATACATATCAGACAACAGTAAAAATATTAAATAAGATGAAAGACTATGAGAAAAAATCCTTAGCATAAATATAATCTCATCTCAAAATATTTTATTTCCAAATTAAAGTTTTCCTAAATTTGTCCCAAAGGTGCTTTTTCAAGAGGCAACTGGACTTTCTTGTTTTTCTTTGAAGATGTTTCGCTTCTCATCCAAAAAGCTTCTACAGCTCTGACTGGATGGTGGGGAATGGAAGGATTTATATTCCTTGCAGACAGCTGGTCATTTACATTCTTTTAGAGAGTCATTGAGGCCACTTGGAGGTTTACCTGTGTCCTCAGGGTCACCTGAGTAGTTCAAATGTATGTGGAGACTTCTTGCTGCCAGATGTTTTCTGCCCCGTGTCCCTTTACTGTTGAACACAGGCATAGGCTGTTGGGGATGAATCTGTGTTGTTTGCATATCAAACTGAAGCGCAAATGGCTCCTGTAGTCTGCAATTTTTCTGGAAATCCATTCATACTCCTGCACCATTCGAAGGGTGTTCATCCCAAAATGCATAGCTAAATGTCTATGGAAATTCTCAGTCATCCAGGGCATGGCTGCCCCAAAGGTGCAATTTCAAGAGGCAACTGGACTTTTTTGTTTTTCTTTGAAGAAGTTTCTCTTCTCATCCAAGAAGCTTCTTCAGCTCTGACTGGATGGTGGGGCATGAAAGGATTTATATTCCTTGCAGACAGCTGGTCATTTGCATTCTTTAAAGAGTCATTGAGGCTGCAGGATGTTTTCTGCCCTGTGTCCCTTTACTGTTGATCACAGGCTGTGTTCAAGGGAAGCGAGACATCTTCAAAGAAAAACAAGAATCTAATTGCCTCTTGAAAAAGCACCTTTGGGACAGCCATGACCTCGATGACTGAGAATTTCCACAGACATTTTCCTGAAATTACTTTTCTAGTAATCAAAATAAGAACTACAATGACTAATACAGACTCTACCTGCATGAAATAAACAAACAATTGTGTTCTGATTTCCAAATTAAAGAATTATACTCAGAGTATTACAATGGAACTATCATGGTTCCGATAGATGAAACCAATTAAAAGAATTTCAAGGCAAGAATTTCTTCCTCAAAGAACATTTTGTTCAGGAAACAAAGTATCGGCACTTACATAGTGGAACCCAAGACTGAGATTCCCTCCCCCTAGTTACAAAGTAACAAGTTGCAATTCCCACCCCACAAAAGCTATCATAAATCACATTCCCCAATTAGCACAAAACATGGGCTTTTCTCTCCGGCTCCTCAGCCCACCAAAAGCTTATCAGACAATGTCCTTAAGTTCCCACACTTCTGCATTGTTATGGCTACCTAAACCCTCAAGCATTTAGCCCATCCCCCCTTCTACATCTGAACTCTAAAAGAACAGAAAAAGCACATTAAAAACAAAGGTAAAATGGCTGCTGAATCTCAGTTGTCAGAGCGTGGACATCCATTGTCACAGCGTTGACAGGAAATTTTAAAGTAAGCTGTGTTCCAAGTCAACAAAACTGACAATATTTTAAGTGTAGCACAAGAGAGTTAAGGTTAGGCTTAGTCAAAATAAGCCCATTTTTAAATTTTGTCCTGCAGTAGATGTAATACTATATTCTGTTGGCATACCTATGGAATAATTGTTAATTAATATATTGAAGTTATACTTTGAAAAAGCAAGATAGCAATAGTACTGATGCTTTTGAAATTTTTTGTTGGAGAAACTCCTAAGAATATAAATGGACAGCCAAGAAACAAACAAATAGATTATCCAACAAATTAACCCAGATTTCTCAACAAGGCACAAATGAATAGGCTCAAATGATCTTACTTTGGACACATTTTGCAAAGTCCTAGCTCTCTACAGAAGGTTCTAATACTGACAGAGTGAAAGGAAAAAGAAGAGGACAACCAGAACAAAGTGGACTCATGGACTCATGGTGCCAATATGCACCACTTGATAACCTGAAGAACCAGGTTAGGGTAGATCGTCATGGAGAAAATCTATTTATGTGGCTGCTAAGAACTGACATTGATTAGATGACTTATAATCAATCAATCAAAATAAAATTCAAATTGCAAACAATGAAAACAACTATTAAGAATACTTTTTAATAAAAAATAGCAACAGCAATCAATTCTGGCTAGAACAAGATCACTACATAAAAATGTACTTTGCTAACTACCACTAGAGCCTTTTTCCAATCACATACACAATTCACAGTTTTTGCAGTTGGCAATTTGCTTTTGCAAACTATAATAAGTAGACAAACAAGAAAGGTTTTTTGGATTTGGCAAGCTGAGATTTGCCAGGACATATGGAGAACTGAAAGCAGAGCCAATGGCCACAGCAGAGATCTTCTCTCTGGAGAAGGAGAGGACTGGAGAGCACCCACATGTGCTCTTCACAAGACGACTACAGGATAGTGATTTTCTGCAGGTCTGAGCACCAGGACATAATAGGATTAGACATCTTGCTCGCAACTGTGGTAGAGACTTTTAAAGAATGCTAAGTTTGCAAACCTCACTTTCTAATCACTTTTAGAAATTGCTCATTAACTATTTCTAAGCTATTAGAGACTTTCAGACTGACAAGTTTGAAAATGCCACATCAGTCTACCTTCAATCCTGAATTAAAGAAAAAATTAATCATAAGCTAAAGTAAGTAAAGAATGCAAAATAAACAACAAAAAGCTAAATAAGATTTTGATCTTAGAAAGTTTGAAAAGGACTAAGGGTCCAGATAAAATTGGAATAATAAAAATTTTACAATAATTTTTTGGAATATAATTAATACCTAATACTTTTATTTGCTGGTTAGTGACTGTAATAAAATATAATTATGGTCACCAACCAGAAAATAAAAGCATTAGGAATTAATTATAAAAACAAAACTTCTTGTGGGAAGTAGATTGCATTTTGGTTTTTACAAAACAAAGCAAAGATAATTATTTCATGATTTAAAAAACTGGATACCAAAGAGGACCAAAGGTAGAGGAAAGATTTATAAACCTGCAAAATGTTTCAAAATGTACTAACAATGAAAATGTTGAAGGAGACTTTTGAAGAATTAAATGAGAAAATAGTAGCTACAATATCAACAGTGTCAATAATGATGTCTGTTTCTATGAATAAACTATGTCCAAAATATGTTCTTGAAGAACTGGCAAATGTAGAAGAAATTTTATCTAACAAGATAGAAATAGTATCAAAAGTGGATTTATAATTTATAGGCCAAGAGAATGACTTAGAAAAGGCTATTTCACTAGATTTACAAAGAAATTGCCTGAGGGTTTATAATTTAAAAAGGAAATACAAATGACAAACCAAGCGAGTGATCCAGATAACTTTTTCCTACTGGCTTTATAAATGAGCAGGGCTTTTTTTCAGCCGGAACGCGGCGGAACCGCGTTCCGGCACCTTTTTCCGGGCCGGCCGCACCGGAAATAGCCCCTCCCGCACCGGAAATAGCCCCTCCCAAATTTTACTTGCATTCCTGTTCTCTAAAGGGGCGGTCCTAGGGTTTGATGAGGGCGTGGCCAGGTTTGAGTTCCGCCACCTTTTCTCTG